GTTGCACTTTGTGCAGACATTACATCAAATATTCATATTACAAACAGCACATATTATACATAGATAGGCGTGGCCGTTAGTTTGTGGTAATGTAAATGATCATTAAACCCCCAAACACAGAAGTGGGACGTCATCTTTACCTCCAGCGATAGAGGGCAGTGTTGCCATTGATGGCTTATAAAAGTTAACAAGGAAGTGCAGTGGCGCTGTTTGTGAATGTTCGCGCACTTTATATGCACTTATACACGTTATAAGCCTCTGGCTGGTGTGCGAAAGGAGCATACATATATTAAATTGCATGTTTTAAGGCTTTCTCCTACCTCTCAGCTCCTGGCTGATAAAGGGCACAAGGTACGGTTTTTGGCAATTATATTGTGTGGTAAATTTGATTGTTTAAACATATTGCCTTATCAGCACTGTAGTTTTACCTTAGAAGTTATATCGTTTACAGTAGTTCAGGGTTTATTCGATCATTGGTATATTTTATGTTTCTTAATCGCACTCTAATCGGAGGTTGTTAAGATTGTAATTAAGATCATACAGGTAGCACCTAAGGAGAGGTTGTCAATGTTTAAAATATATTACGTATATACTTCGTTGTCGTTATAAATGCTTTATATACATTTAAAAATACATTATCATTGTTAAAATAAGTCTATTTAAAATATTGTACAGTGGTAAGGCAAGGATATAATTTAATGCATATAAAAAGGGGATGACATTGTAATGTAATTTATAGTAAATACGTATACATTATTGTATATGTTTATTACTAACATTGGTGATGATTCATACCATTTACAGGCAAATGTCTATTGTTTGTTTTGTTTTCATTCAGCTCTTACGGTGTTTTGGATATTAAAAACCCTTATCAAACATCAGTTAGAGAGTAAAGTGCTTATGTTCAGCCGGGAATGCTACAGTAAGAGCTTCACCTTACTCTGGAGAGTAAGCGCTTTACATAGAAAACCAACAGCTTCACATCATTAGTCCTTTCACACATCCTAAACTTGTTTAATGAGCATCAAAGGTCTTGCTGTCATAATTTAAGTCTGTGGTACTCCTATAAAAAATTAAAAAAAAATTTAAAACAAAAAATGGACGCTTCTGAACATATGGACCCTGACCAGCAGTTGGAGGCCCCTCATAATGGAATTGAAGAGGAGGAGTTTCGTGTTTCTGGTCGGCAACGTAAACTGACGGAAAGGATGCGTGCATATAAGAAGGAGGAGGCCATAAAAAAAGAGAGAAGATTCATTCAGCTATACGAACAATGGAAGGACCTAGCTCGCAGCACAAGAGAGGAGCTAAAATTAGATGTTAGTAAAGGTCACTTGGTAACGCTTATCAATACACTGGAGAAGGGAAGGGATGAGGTTATGCACATATATTTGGAAATTAGAGATTATAATGCTCCATCCAGTGACACTAGACGCAGAGTTGATACTTGTGAAGCCGTAACGAAGGATATTTCAAAGATCGTTTTTAACAGAATGGCATGCCGTGAGGACTTTGAACAAGAAAATGTCAAACATAGCCTTCGTGAGCTACTTCATCATGATTACGCCCGCTCTGTGTATGGATCCACAGTATCGCGCCCCACATCATCAAGGTCTACAGTTACATCCATTGCAGCTAAACGAGCAGATGCAGCAGCTGAATTAGCAGCCAAAGAAGCAGAATACTCAATGATACAAGAGATAGAAGCTCGGAAATGTGAACTGGAAAAGCTAAAGGCAGAGAAGGATCTAAAGGCAGCTAGAGCCAGACTGCAGGCCTATGATCAAGAAATAGCTCAGGAAGCCAGTATTCATTCTTTGGACTTAAATACAAGGGAACAGCAGGATGCAACAGGTGTAATACCGCAGCATGTGGGTCCGAGTCCCATTCAACGTCCTACTGGCAACACAGCGACATCCTCATCTCTAAAATCTGATATATCTCATCTTGCTCAAGCTGTACAGGATAGCATATCTCTGAACAGGCTGCCTACAAAAGAACTGCCTGTATTTAGTGGTGATCCTATCCAGTTCATTGAGTGGAAAGCTGCTTTTACATCACTCATTGATGGAAAGGCCATTTCTTCTGCTGACAAGCTGCATTATTTAAAAGGGTATGTTGGCGGACCAGCTCGTAAGTCTCTTGATGGCATCTTCTACAGGAATGATGATGAGGCTTATAAAGATGCATGGGGCAAGCTGAACCAAAGATATGGGCAGCCATTCGTCATACAGAAGGCATTTAGAGAAAAACTATCCAAATGGCCCAAGATTCAACCTAAGGATTCAGAAGGTTTCAGAGAACTCTCTGACTTCTTAAATGCATGTCATCAAGCTATGCCACATGTCAAAGGGCTTGAAATACTGAATGACTGTCATGAGAACCAAAAACTTGTACGCAAATTACCAGATTGGGCAGCGGCGCGGTGGAACCGCCAGGTCACACAGACACTGATTGAGACTCATGACTTTCCAAAGTTTAAAGATTTTGTGACCTTTATGTCAATGGAAGCCGAGATTGCATGTAATCCGGTCACATCCTTTAGCGCTCTTCATGCCTCTGACCCCACTTCAGAAAAACGGATCCTTAAGGACCGTAAAAGGAACATAGCTAACGTCTTTCACATTCAAGCAGATATAGAAAATAAACAAAATGATGAAAATGAGCAAAGACACACTAAAGCAAATGTTAAAATGTGTTTCTTCTGAAAAGATAACAAACATAAGATTTACAACTGTCCTAAATTTGCAGCTAAATCTTTAGAAGAGAAACGAAATTATGTGAAGGAGAACAAACTCTGCTATGGGTGCATGAAATCAGGCCACAGTGTAAAAGACTGCCGTTACCGTCTATCCTGTGACACTTGTAGGGGTAGACACCCAACATGTCTGCATGATGAAAATTACACAAGGAAAGTCAACTCTACACCAGTCTCAAACCAAGGTAACACAGAGACTGCTGCTTCTACATCTCTCAAGGTTACAAATAATGAGCAATCCACTAATACGTCAATGATCGTACCAGTGTGGGTATCGACCGATAGGAATCCAGGCTCCGAAACACTTGTTTATGCTCTGCTTGATACCCAAAGCGATACTGTGTTTGTCGACCGAGAGCTGAGCAACAAGTTACAAGCTGATTCCTGTCCTGTGAAACTGAAGTTGACAACCATGACTGGAAAGGATGTTGTCATTCCAAGTGAAAGGGTAACAGGGCTCAAAGTAAGAGGCTACAGCTCTCCCGTTGTTCTCAATCTGCGTCCTGCCTACACCAAGGACTCCATTCCTGTGAACCACACTCACATCCCTACCTGTGACACAGCACGAAACTGGATGCATCTCTCTGCAATAGTGGACAAAATTCCACCTCTTCAAGAATGTGAGGTTGGTTTCCTGATAGGTTACAGCTGTCCAAGGGCTTTAGCACCAAAACAGGTGATTTTCGGAGGAGACGACGAACCTTATGCAGTCCATACAGATCTTGGATGGAGCATTGTTGGTCGCCTGTCTTCACACCATGAATCTCAGAGCTTCAACACCATCTGTCATAGAGTTAGCATTAAAGAACTCCCCCCAGTGACTCCAGCAGATGTTATCAAGGTATTGGAATCTGACTTCAAAGATGCTAGTGAAGATAATAGAACTGTGTCACAGGATGACATCCTTTTCTTGACTAAACTACAGCAGTGCATAAGGAAGAACAACCACGGGCATTACGAGATGCCTCTTCCCTTCAAAGAGAGACCTCACTTGCTTAACAATAAGCAGCTTGCCATTGTAAGGCTCAATCATCTTAAAGGGAAATTGCTAAAAGATGAAAGGTACAAGGATCACTATGTGGCATTTATGGAAGAGGTCATTAAGAGAGGTGATGCAGAAGAAGTGCATGATGAAGGAAAGGAGGGAGAAAAGTGGTACATCCCCCATCATGGGGTGTATCATTCTAAGAAACCGGACAAGCTCCGCATTGTCTTCGACTGCTCAGCCAAGTACCAGGGAACCAGCCTTAACGACCACTTGCTTCAAGGCCCAGATTTAATTAATAATCTGACTGGCGTCCTTGTAAGATTCAGGCAGCATCCTGTGGCCCTCATGTGCGATGTTGAAAAGATGTTCCACCAATTTCATGTGGAAGAAGTAGATCGAAACTATCTACGCTTTTTCTGGTGGAAAAACGGAGACTTAGCCTCAAACCCACAAGAATACCGCATGAAGGTCCATCTTTTTGGTGCAACTTCATCACCAGGATGCGCCAACTATGGTCTGAAACATCTCGCTAAGGAGAATGAATGTATGTATCCTCTTGGTTCAAAAATTCATCACAACAGATTTCTATGTAGATGATGGTGTCACCAGTGTAGCCAGCACAGAGGAAGCTGTTCAGGTAGCAAGGGAGGCCAGACAATTGTGTGCCTCAGGTGGTCTTAGACTGCACAAATTTGTCTCAAATGACAGAGGTGTCCTGGATAGCATTCCAATGTCTGAACGAGCTATTGACGTAAAATCGCTTGACCTCAACTTTGACGGCACACCTTTGAAGAGAGCTTTAGGGATCCACTGGCATGTTGATTCTGACAGATTCAGATTCTCTGTTGACCTCAAAACCCAACCAGCTACACGCCGTGGCATACTATCGACAGTTGCATCCCTGTATGATCCTCTGGGTTTTATTGCTCCTTTCCTGCTCACTGGAAAATTAGTGCTTCAGGAAATGTGCAGACATGGAACAGGCTGGGATGACCCCCTTCCTAGAGAATTGCAGCCAAAGTGGGAGCATTGGAAGGCTGATCTTTTGAAGTTGGAAAAGATCAATATACCCCGCTGCTATGTACCTGCCAACTTTGGAAGGGTGAGCGAAAGAGAACTGCATCACTTCTCCGATGCCAGCAACAGAGGATATGGACAGTGTTCCTATTTGAGACTCACAAACGAAGAAGGAAACATCCATTGTGCCTTGGTCATAGGTAAATCCAGAGTTGCTCCCATAAAGGTCCAGACTATTCCCAGGCTTGAACTGACAGCTGCTGTCATCTCAGTTGTCATGAGCAATATGCTCAAACAGGAGCTGGAATATGCAGACATACAAAATTACTTTTGGACTGACTCACAAGTGGTTTTAGGATATATCAACAATGAAGCACGTCGTTTTCACACATTCGTGGCGAACAAAGTGCAGAAGATACATCTCAGCACTACTCCCCAACAGTGGAGATATGTTCCCACTAATGAAAATCCTGCTGACCATGCGTCAAGAGGTTTAAACGTTGATGAGATTCTTAAAACCAATTGGTTGACAGGGCCGAGTTTCTTATGGAAGAAGGATATACCTCCTGTTGCAGATATTGACACAGCACTAAACGTTGGAGATCCTGAAGTGAGACAGGCTCAGGTTCTGAGTGCAGAGACAGCAGAAATCGGCCTCTCAGACCACTTGTCAAAGCTATCTTCATGGTCTGGAGCTGTCCAAGCTGTGGCTCGCCTCATTCGCCGAGCAAAAGGAAATAAGTCCAGCAGTTACAGTACAGTAGCTGAACGAGAACATGCTACGTGTATCATCATTAAGGATTTACAAAGTAACACCTATGTCAAGGACATCAAGCTGTTGAGCAAGGGTGCCCAGCTGTCACCTAACAGCAAGCTGTATCATCTTGATGCCTTCCTAGACCGAGAAGGGTTACTCAAGGTAGGAGGAAGGCTTTGCAATGCACCCCTACCCAGCTCAGTCAAACACCCAGTAATCATTCCCAAAGATCACCATATAACAAAGATGATCATCTCTCAATGTCATGAGAATGTCAAGCATCAAGGGAAGGGACTCACCATTAATGAGATCCGAGCACAAGGCTACTGGATTCCAGGAATCAGCAGAGCAGTGGCATCCCATGTACACCACTGTGTGACATGTCGAAAACTCAGGAGACCCACAGAAGAACAAAGAATGGCCAACCTACCCTCAGAGCGCACTAGTCCATCCCCACCATTCACATACTGCGGTATGGACTGCTTTGGTCCCTTCATTATTAAAAAGGGTCGAAAGGAGCACAAGAGGTACGGCCTCCTCTTCACGTGTTTCAGCTCCAGAGCTATTCATATAGAAATGCTAGATAACATGTCAACAGATGCCTTCATCAATAGCCTGCGCTGTTTCATTGCATTACGGGGAACAGTACGCCAAATCAAATGCGATCAAGGCACCAACTTTGTAGGAGCCAAAAATGAGCTGACAAATGCTCTCAAGGAAATTGATGCGGATCGTTTGTTACCACTTAACAAGCTTGTTAAGAAAGCTGGCTCTGTCCTGGGCTGCACACTGGACACCATCGAGGAGGTGGCGAACAGAAGGATGCTATTAAAACTGTCATCCATTATGGATAACCCCTCCCACCCCCTGCACCACACTGTGGAGGCTCTGAGCAGCTCCTTCAGCACAAGACTGTTACACCCTCAGTGCAAGAAGGAGCACTTCCGTCGATCATTCCTCCCCACAGCTATTAGACTTTACAACACATCACTGCAGTGACCACATAATCAATATATATATAATCCCTGTATATGTACATATGTGTGTAATATATGTATATCTGTGTGTGTGTGTATATATGTATGTATATATATATATATATATATATATATATATATATATATATATATATATTTCAGCAGCTGCTATCCATATACCTAGCATTGTGTATATGTTTCTTTTTTTCTTACATTTTTACTTATATATTTTTACAGTTTTAGAAATTGTTTTCTATTGTTTTTATTATCTGTATTGTTATTTTTTTGCTGATCCTATGGATCCTGTCCTTTTTTTGTACTGTCTTTTTTCATTATTGCTGCTGTTTTCTCAAAGAATTTCCCCATTGTGGGATTAATAAAGTCTAATCTAATCTAGTGTTCTTAGCCGAAAGGCAGTGCGACTTTGTCCTAAATGCACCCCATTCAAGTCATGCAGGTGGGGTATAGGAAAGACAAATCAGAACAGTGAGGAATGTTCTTCGCTCAACTCTCTCACTCTCTTCTGACAGACTGGATGATGCGTCACTGAGAACACTGTTTTATGAAGCTATGGCAATTGTAAACAGTAGACCACTCTCAGTTGACAACCTAAACGACCCCAATAGTCTGGTACCTCTCACCCCTAATAACTTACTCACCATGAAGCCTGCTCCAGCATTACCACCACCAGGCAGATTTGTTAGAGAAGACATCTATGCAAGGAAAAGGTGGCGTCATGTTCAGTACCTCGCAGAGCAGTTTTGGAGTCGTTGGCGAAGGGAATATCTATCTAATATTGCCATCAGACAGCGCTGGCATACAGCAAAGAGAAACCTGAAAGTAGGAGATATCGTCATGGAAAGGGCTGATGATCTTCCCAGAAGTGAGTGGCGGCTGGCCAGAGTTACAGAGACTACAACAGATAAAGATGGGCTTGTGAGGAGAGTCAAGGTATGCTTTGGTGACCGGAATCTGGAAAGGGATGGTCGTCGCCTCAACAAGCTGTCTGTCATAGAACGCCCAGTCCAGAAGCTGATCCTGTTGCTAGAGGCCATCTAGCTGATTTCGGAAGCAACCAAGTGTATCCTTATCATATTACTTAAATTCTAGTATCACCGTAGTATGGACACTTTTGTTCAATTTAGAGATAAAGGTTATTTGTTCTTGCTTTATTTAAAATCACTTGTAATTTATATTCCTCAACGTCATATAAATCCCTCATGATTTGGTGGGAGTGTAAATGATCATTAAACCCCCAAGCACAGAAGTGGGACGTCATCTTTACCTCCAGCGATAGAGGGCAGTGTTGCCATTGATGGCTTATAAAAGTTAACAAGGAAGTGCAGTGGCGCTGT